GTGTGTGTGTGTGTGTGTGTGTGTGTGTGTGTGTGTGTGTGTGTGTGAATAGTTAAGGCATAAAATCTTTCATTTTGGAGCACCTTACCGAACATAACAATAATCACTGTTATTCTTTTGGCAACACCACAAAGACTGCATCTGTTAAACAGGTACAAGTTCACTTGAGGTCAGTGTAATTGTACACCATGGTATTGGTGGTGTTTATTGCTGATAAGTCCAAACCTTTATCTGTCTGTTATTCTTAATGTTTAATAAACTTTGGATTGTTTCCTGTCTTTCCTTTATTTTTGTTGACAGTCTGCTGGAAATTAGATTCTGTTCCCAATTCTATCATAAAGAAGCCATTGACAGAGATTAATTACATAGATGATAAAGTAATAATACTATATAGTTAGTGAAAAATCAACATTTATTGAGTACTTACATGCCAGGCACTATGCTAAACACTTGCATGGAATATTTTATTTAATCCCATGTCAACCCTATGAGGTAGGGACAATTGTTATCTCCATTTACAGAAGAAAGATAGAAGGTTCGGGAGCTTAAGTAGCTGGTAGAAGTGACAGAAAAGAGTTCTGATCCATCAAATGGGTGTCATTTAGAGTGATGGTTCCCAAAAACCAGTCCAAAGACTGTTTTCTTGTTGGATGTATAAGAATCACCTGGGACCATATTACAAGACTGCAGATCCAGTGATGCTGAATCAGTACATCTGGGATGGGGCCTGGAAATCTGAATTTCTTAAAGGTTCACAGCTAACTCCTATGTGTGGCCAAGTAATTAGAGCCAAGGATTTACAGACTTGACCTTAATTTGAGTTCATGACCTTGGGGGATCCATGTAGAAGCTTCAAAACTTCCATAATTACCTGAAACTGTATGCAACTTTTTGTGTATAAACATGTATTTTTCTGTAGAGGAGATCCATAGCTTCCCCACCCTCCAAAGGAATCTGTGATGCAAGATGGAATAAAACCCCCTGATTAACAGGAAGGCTGATGTAGAATGGTGGTTCCCAGCCCAGGCAGCCCATTAGAATCACCTGGGGAGCTCAAAACACTGGCGCTCATGTGCCACGGTCCAGGCCAAGGAGCTCAGCATCTGTGGCAGGAGAGAAGGGAGCTCTGGTGAGGAGTTAGTTCAGTGGTTCAGATCTGTCACTTAGCGAGTGTGTGACCTTGAACAGCTACTAAGCACTTTTAAACCTAAATCTCCCATCTGTGAGAAGGCCAGCTCTCCACCCCTGAGGGTTTTGGGGAGAACTAATGACATAAATGCATAGTCTCTGGTACCTCATCGGCCCTCAATAAATAACTGCGACAGGGACCTGAGGATAGAATGTGTACCTGCTGCACTTTTTCCAGTTCAATATTTCAGACCATTTGTTCCTCCAAAGAAGTCAGAAAACAGTTCTGTGCAGAAGAAGGGGTAGGTGGCTGGTGGCGAGAGAACAGGTGATGCCCCGGCATGGGTGTGGTTCATACTCTGACATCCCTAGTGGATCAGAGCTTTGACCACAGGTTGGGGGACGTCCATCCAGGTGGCACCTTCCAATTTAAGCAGCTACAAGTCAGGGGTCAGCTCTATTTCACCATTAAACAACTTTCTCCTTTCTCAGAGGAATAGGTACAATGACCTTAGCAAGATTCTCTTTGAGTAACTGATTTTATATTTTTGCATCTTCAAACCTCTTAGAGGAAATTACTGCTTCTCCATGCCTGGAGAGACTTGTGACTTTAGGGTGGCAGGAACTGATGTGAAGCCCAGCTGTGTAGATGCCCAGTCACTCATGAGACCTCAGTCCCCAGGGCCCATCACATGCTGCCCTTGGGATGGCTTTTCCATTCCCATTTAAACGTAACAAACCTTCAAATGCAAAGCCCTTCTCTTCAAAGCACAGGAATTCCATTCCCTCTTTGAAAATCACTGGCTTAGAAGTCTCTTTGGGCATCTTTAGCAAGGATCTGGGTGGGAATTGTGGCAGTCTTGCCTTTGTGGTTGGGAGATGGCTTCTTGGTAATAAATGTAAATGACCCTATTGGAGGAGAAAGGCCCAGGTAAAGAAGGTGGTGAGCGTTCTCTGCCTCTCTGGGCTTTGAGTCAGTGAAGACTTGCATCCAAAGGCCCCTCTCTGACTTCTCTTCATCCTGCAAAGCCTGGCACGATAGGAAAAGCTGACAGTTACTGAACCCTGTACTAAACTAAAAGCTGACAGGTACTAAACCGTGTACCTGCCACATCTCACTTCCTTCTCATGCTATGAAATTGCTACTAATATTTTTCCTGTTTTAAAGAAACAGGCTTATGGAAATGAAGTAAGCAGAATTTAAGCCCAGGCAGGAAGCCTGATTCCAGAGTTTGTGTTCTGTGCTACTGTACTCCATGGCTTAAACTACGGGCTCAACAAAGGCAAAAGGCAATCACTGTAATTAGGAGGGTGAGCCCAGAGCAGGCAAACCTGGGCTTGAATCCCGTCTCTATTATTTACTGTGTGACCATAGAAAATTCAGCAAATTGCCCTGAGTTTTACCTGCAAAATGGACAAACTACAACTCTCCTTATATGGTTGTTATTAGGATTAAGTGAGAACATGCATTGAAAACACTTGGATCAATGTGCAGAGTATAACAGGAATTCAACAAATATTTGCTTTTTGTAATAATCATAGCAATTATTAATAAATGTTGCTTGATTTGATTTCACTGGTGATGTGTTATGATAGAGTCAGACTATATATTGTGTATTTTAGTAGGTGCGTTTTTTGGTTTTTTTTTTTGTGGTACGCTGGCCTCTCACTGCTGTGGCCTCTCCCATTGCGGAGCACAGGCTCCGGACGCGCAGGCTCAGCGGCCATGGCTCACGGGCCCAGCCGCTCCGCGGCATGTGGGATCCTCCCGGACCGGGGCAGGAACTCGTGTCCCTGCATCGGCAGGCGGACTCTCAACCACTGCGCCACCAGGGAAGCCCTAGTGCGTGCACTTTTATTCTGCAAATACTTGATTCAAGAGCCTCTTCTACATTTTGGTGACATCCCTGTTTTATTGGATGAGTAAACAGCGGAGAGAGTGTGGTCACTTTATGAGCGAAGTTGTGTTTCTGAGATTGATTTTATAAACATAAAATTCATGAAGCATCACCAATTTTAAGCCAACTCTGTTGCCTCTGATATTGTTGGGATCTTGGAGACCTTTCCTTTAACGAATGTACTGAATGGTACTGAAAGTCTGACCCTTGCAGTGT